TAATAATAATAAAGTTGGAAGGGACCTTGGAGGTCATCTAGTCCAACCCCCTGCTCAGGCAGGAAACCCTATACCATTTCAGACAAATGGCTGTCCAGTCTCTTCTTAAAAACTTCCAGTGTTGGAGCATTCACCACTTCTGGAGGCAGGTTGTTCCACTGGTTAATTGTTCTAACTGTCAGGAAGTTTCTCCTTAGTTAGTTTGTTGATCAAAAAGTATGATAGATTGCATCTTTAACCTGTAAATATGTGACATTGTTATCACTGATTTTATTGTTCAGAGTACTTTGGGGAAATGATTGAAATTATTTGTGTGTATGTCTGTGTGTATCAATGCAGATTTAGAATCTATCACATTATGAAACTGTTCCTAATTGCTGGCCATTGTTGCCAATTTCAGTGTTTAATATATTAATGCCGAACATGACCATCTACTTTCTTCCAGGTGGACTTGGGAGCACTCTACTTTCATTACTCTTATACATGATTTATAATAGGAGAGACACAGAGGAGTGCTGACCTTGTTTAACTCTCTGGAATTTCACAGTATTTGTCAATGCCAATAGTTATAATATGCATCAGAACTTGCTTCTCTAGAAACTGGGGGGGGGGGGGGTTGCCAAACAACCATTACTTCTCCAAATGGTTTTGGATTACCATCCTGTCATTTCTGATCATTGAGAGATTTTAGTTTTAAAAAACCCTGAAAGATGACCTTCCTAATATACAAGGTGCTAGGTGAGGTCATTCTGGAAGAGGCACACAGTTGCCAAAAGGCACACTGGGGTGATGGCTTCCCAATATCTCAACAAGACTCCAAGATATTCTCCACCAACCCAAGTGACCTTTCTAAATTCTCAATTATATTATTTCCTATTCCTCTTTATCAATAGTAGGATAATCCTTTATGAATGATTACTACCTGAAAAAACAACTAACAGAGAATAATCTGAAACTTAATCCAGATTTAAAAATATAATATAGCTATGAAAGATAAGAACCACATAGAATAAACATTCTTTGTGATAAGTAAACCAAGTGCTTTTGTCTCCAGGATAATTGCCGACGAGATGAGAACCTGTTACGTCTTTGGATCATTGAAGCCAAAGGTTTGGCCCCGAAGAAGAAGTATTTCTGTGAAATATGTCTGGATGAAATATTAGTCGCCCGTACTACCAGTAAATCAAAATCTGACAATATTTTCTGGGGTGAACAGTTTGAGTTCGCTAGCCTTCCACCCACCTATCACATTACAGTCCACATCTATAAGGACACTGAAAAGAGAAAGAAAAACTTTAAGAATAATTATATTGGTCTGGTCAGCATTCCCATAGCTACTGTAACCGGTCGACAGTTTGTGGAAAAGTGGTACACCATCAGCACTCCCACAGTCAATAAGGGGAAGTCTGGTGTGCCATCCATCCGGATCAAGTCACGGTACCAGACCATCGTCGTCCTTCCTATGGAAAAATATAAAGAGTTTGCTGAATTTGTAACTAACAATTATACTGAATTATGCTCTGTTTTGGAACCAGTGATAAGTGTCAGAGACAAAGAGGAGATGGCCTGTGCTATGGTGCACATTCTTCAGAGCACTGGCAGAGCAAAGGTAAGAATATGCAGAACCACCACTCCCTTTGTTGGAGTAACCAACAGACACTCCAAAAGCTACTTATGGCTGTTTTTCAAGGTTACAATAGCCTCACCACCTTGTGATCGCATGATCACATTTTGGGCACTTGGCAACCAGCTCATCTTTCTGGCCATTTGCGACATCTCATGGTCACATGACTATAATTTGTGATTTATTTTTTTTGCCAGTTGCCATGTTTACTTCCAGTTATGGGCAAAAACACATATATTGGAGAAAATTGATTTGCTTAATTACCATGGTGTTCACTTAATAATTGCCACATTTTTTTCCTGGTCTTGTCACATGATGCCTCAATTTATGATTGCAGCAACTAATGACCCTAATGATAGGCTCAATTATGGTGATCAGTCAAGGGCTACCTGTATTTCTATCCTTTTTTCTAATTGCCTGCTCAGTATCTTATAGATTAATTTATAGCCCTCAGATTAGCAAACTCAGAAAACAGACTCCTACCAAAAGATTAGTATCTGTTTTGATTCAGTGCCTATTTTGAATTGTGGGTCCAGCAGAAATAATTTTTAAGCATTTGCAGTGAGATGCAGAGCTCTTCGGATTCCACCTCCACCCCTCAACATCCTTTTTTCTCTGGTGCCACAGCCTCTCTTAGGGCCAGTTATGAACTTAGATTATGCATGTGTCTTTTACTTCTTTAGATATGTTGCACTTTGTTTGGAAATGAGAGAACATTCCTCTTCTGGAGGGTAAAATAGAGCCCATTGTTTCAAGTTTACTCTCAGGTTTGAGTTGTGTGGGCAAATCTCTGAAGGACAGTCTTAAGCAGGGCATAGTTCTTAAAAATAATCCTCAAAGAGCAGAATATAGAGAGTAAAATTTTACTAGAGACAATGTGAAACCATGTTTGTCTTTTTATGGCACTCGCCTTTGATTCCTAAAAGAAGATTTGTTTCTTTTTCCAGAGAGCTTGTGGTAAAATGTTTATTCTCCCAAGAGCTTTGTGAGAAAGGATAGGTTGACAGAGAGATGCCCCAAAGTTTATAGTGAAGCTAAGGGAGATTTTAATCTAAACTTCCCTGGTGTAAAACCAATATTCTATTATGCCACACTAACACAAGTGTATCCTGTTCAAACACTTCTTCTAGATTGCAATTCGTGCTTTCGGGATAGATTGATATGGCCATGTTTAGCCCAAGAAGCAAAAGAGAAATAAATGAGAAGAAAAATATAGTGGAAAATGTGTGTTTCTTGAATTAATGCTTAATATTCTCTGCGTATGTACAAGTTCTGTATTCTAGGCTCCCCACTTCCTCTAACATTCTGTGTTCTTCTCCCCTTCACTTCCCAAGGCACTCCTTTTTGCCAGTTTTCTCTATGTCCACAGTTTCCAGAAAATTATATTCTTTTTTTTAAGTATTTTATTAATTTTCAATTATTACAATTCATTATGCTTAATGAACGTGTTGTCTGAGTTAATTTTTTGCTTAGTAATAAAAGTTAAATACTTGCTCTCTATCTCGCTTTTCCAGCCATTGATAAAATAAGTTCCATGTTTGAGAATATTCTGTGTCTTCTTTTTCTTTGATTCTCAATGTAAGTCTTTCCATTTCAGCACAGTCCAGTATTTTCTTGATTACCTCTTCATCCAATGGTGTTTTTTCATTTTTCCAATGCTGTGCAAATACAATCCTCACTGCTGTTAATACATGTAATGTTAAATATATATTTTGTTTATACCTAATAAAAAAGTTCAGGTTTAAAATCTACGTGTTTCCCTAACATCTTTTCTAACCAAGTATGTATTTTTGTTCTAAATGTTTTTGCTTTAATACATGTCCACCAGAGGTGATAATATGTACCAGGTTTTTTATTACATTTCTAGCATTTACTAGACATATTTTTAAACATTTTATAGATGGAAGATGCCATCTATAAAACATTTTCTGTAAGTTTTCTTTATACGAAGTTGCCATTGTCAATTTATAGCTTTTTCCCCAAAGATTTTGCCATTTCTCTAATACTATATTGTATTCAAAAATTTTTGCCCATATTATCATTGTTTCTTTCACTTGTTCATCTTCCATTTTCAAATTTAATAAAAAGTTATACAATTTCTTAATCAGTTTTTCATCAGAAGTCAACAATACCTGATCAAACATTGTCTGGTCTTTGTAAAAACCATATATTTTAACACCTTTATCATACCTCTATTGCATTGGCAGTCAAAGCCACCATGATAAGTCAATACCCTGATCTTCTAACTCTTGTTTAGATTTTAATTTCCCATCTGTATTCAGAATATCCTTATATGTTAGAATTTTCTCAAATTTAACTAGCTTTGGGTGAACGGATGCTTCCATCGTTGATAGAGCCATCCTGGGATTTTCGTATAGATTTTTGGTTTTATCTTTTCTCCTACAAATAATAATGCGTTTCTTATGTAGTGGTTTTGGAAATATCTATGGCTTTTATTCTTTTCATACCATAAAAATGCGTGCCATCCAAGTTGCAAGTCATGTCCTTCTAAATATAACAACCTTTTGTTTCTAAGGGTTATCCATTCTTTTAACCATGTTAGAGCACATGCTTGGTAGTATAAGACCCAATCCGGTAGTCCAAATCCTCCGTTTTCTTTAGCTTCTTGTAGCATTTTCAGTTTGATTCTGGCTTTCCTTCCTTGCCAAATAAATTTCAAGATCAGTGTATTCACATAACCAAAAAACCTTTTCTCTATTTTTATATGTACTGTTTGAAATAAAAAAGGAATTTTGATAAAATATTCATTTTCACAGCAGCTATTCTTCCTAATGTTGATAGATGTAAGTTTTTCCATTTTTCCAAATCTAATTTTGTTTGATTTAGTAATTTTATATAATTATCTTCTTTTATCATTGCACATCTTGCTGTTAAGTATATTCCCAAATATTTAACTTTCTTAACTATTTGTAAGTATTTTTTCTGACAGGTTTTTTTTTTTTGCTTATCTGTAAGGTTTATAACTATAACTTTGGTTTTTTCTCTGTTTATTTTCAATCCTGCTATTTCTCCAAATTCTTTTATCCTTTTTAATAATTTAAAAGTTATCTCCAACAGTTCTTTTAAAATGAATACCAGGTCATCCGCAAATGCTCGTAGTTATAGCTTTTATCTTTTATCTCCATTCCTTTGATTTCCAGATCTTGTCTGATATTTCTGTTGAGAACTTCCAAAGTTAGTATAAATAGCAGTGGGGATAGTGGACATCCTTGTCTTGTGCCTTTCTTTATATTAAAGTTCTCTGTAGAGTCCCCATTGACAATTACTTTTGCTGTTTGTTTATCATATATTAATGATCTTTATAAACTTTTCTCTAAAGTCCATCCAGTTTAGTTGTTGTATCATAAATTGCCAACTTACATTGTCAAAAGCTTTTTGAGCATTTAAGAAAATTAGTGCCATTAGTTTTCCTGGGTGCATTTCATAGTATTCCAATGTATCTAAAATAATCCTTAAGTTATTTTTTATTTTGTCTTTTTGGTAAAAATCCATTTTGGTCTGGATGAATAAATTCCGTCAAAAATCTTTTCAGTCTCTCTGCTATTATTGAAGCAAAGATTTTGTAATCCATGTTTAGTAGTGATATTTTTTATCTGGGTCAAATCTGGGTCCTCTTTTGGTATTAAAGTAATATTTGTTTCTCTCCATGTGTTTGGTAATTTAGCCTCTAGTAATACCTCATTGCAAATTTCTTTCATTGGTGAGCTTAATGTATCTTGTAAACATTTATAGAACTCTGTAGGTAGCCCGTCTGGTCCCAGGGTTTTATCTTTAACTACTTTTTTATTGCAGCATTTGAAAATTGTAAACCACCCTTCTCATCTTGCAATTTATTTATCAGTTTCTTCTCTCTTTCTTTTTTCAGTTTATAAGCCAGCCATCTTCCCAGCTTATTTGCATTTTCAAAAAAGTTTTGTTTTGCCTTTTTAATTTGTTGAGCCAATTCCTCTGACTATTAAATTTAGTTTATGTTTTATTGTCTCCATTTGTCTTTTCACAGCTTTCTTTTGTGGATATATCTGTAATTCTAACTCCAATTTCTTAAAATCTGGTTGGCGTTGTGGTGATACAGGCGAGGGAAAGCGGAACTCAGCTTCCTAAGGCTGATTCCTACCTGTAGATAGGAATAGTAACCTCTTGAGATACAAGGTTGCTGCTTCTTCCAGGGCCAAACAGAGAAAACTGGCTATCAGTAGATCAGGTTCAAAAATTCAATTTAGCAATTATTTTATTATTCAACATCCAACCAGTACTGGAGGCTACTTTTCCAGAATAGGAAAGACTGGATGCAGGCTGTCTTTGCTAATTACTCACAATTCCTATGGAGGTTGTTGTCAACAAGCTGTTAAAGAGCAAAGTAGGCACAAAATACAGATAGCAAACTCGGACAGGAGGCACCAGTCTGAGTCACTCTGAGTTTACAAAGATAAAAAAAAAGTATGGGCAGATCCTCTGTTGTAACACACCAAAGATGTTTTTTAAAGTTGTTTCTCCATGCAGATATAACGGGGTACTCTTGCAGTTGTCTCCGTTAAACATATATATCTCATGAATTCACATATGAAAAACATCAATCCCAAAGTAGAAAGGAGTAACCACCACAGAGAGAATGTAACATCTTCTTCAACCACTCCCACCCCTCTATCCTACTGTGTTCTCAAGTGGGTAAACTGTGCTTGTCTTGGCGTGGGATTAGATTAAAGTTTAGAATGTGTAAATTGGTACATGGGATCACGTAGCTTGCTAACTGCTATGTTGTACATTGTCTCCTCATTTTAAATTCTTTTTATTAAGTTTGTTGTTAAGTTTTCACTAATGAAAAGTAAGGCTTTTTCTGTTCTCTAATGAACTTTGTCTCATGACCTTTCCTCTGCATAGTCTTAATTATTCCATACATTGCAGCCAATAGCAACCAAAGCCCATCAGGTTCCACAATCAGATCCTGCCCTGTAGCATATTGTCTGCTATGTGACTTATCCATGGAACACCCTTCTTCTCAGGAGTCATTCCAAAGTAGGACTAAGAAGAGCTGTTTAGTCAGTAATCTCTCATGGCTATTGGCCAAGGCTGTATCCCTCTGGCAATCAAAGCAGAAATGCCTGCAGAGGCACAGAGCCTTGTGGCTGGATGGGAGGGGGCAATCCTACAGCAGGCTAGTTGGAGCCCTGCAGGCCACCAACCTCCTTCAGGTTCTTCCTCCCGTGTAAAATAGAATATTTGCTAGGCTTATTCTGTTTTTCGCCAGAAAGCACTATTTTTCTATTAGTTTGATGTGGTTTTAGCCTGTCTCAGCAGCAGGCTGGCCCCAAGGTGGAGGCTTTATTGAAGGATATATTCTTCTTCACAAAGAGAAAACGGCTCAGCTGGAGTGAGTGGACTTCATATATGAGGCCTAAGTGAAGTATATCTGTACGGGTCTGGATGGGGAGGAACAGACTCAGACTCAACCCTTCCAAGACCGAGTGGCTGTGGTTGCCGGCGCCCCGGCATAGTCAGCTGATTCCATCGCTGTCTATAGGGGGCGAAACTTTGGCCCCCTCAGAGAGGGCGCGCAACTTGGGTGTCCTCCTGGATCCACGGCTGACACTGGAAGATCATTTGTCGGCNGGACTGACCTAGGGTGAATTTTAAATAGGGATAATTTTTAATGATTTTTAATAAGAGACACAGCTACAAATATTTGGTTTTAATTGGCTTTTATTGGGGAAATGTGCTATGTTGTTTTAATATGCTGTGAGCCGCCCTGAGTCCCGTGGGGAGAAGGGCGGCATATAAGTCTTAAAAATAAATAAATAAATAAATAAATCTTGCTTATCAAAAAAGAATATTTGAGGCAAATTGTTCAATTGAATACATCTAACAGTCTCTAAATACCTTAGATTCCCTAATAGGAGGTACTGTCACTCTTTCAGCATTTTTACTTTTTTGTTGAGTCAGTCGTTTTAGCCATCCGGCATATTCTACCCAACCTCTGTCCATAGAGTACACCTATCATTATATACATCATTTTTTTTCTCACCTTTTTTCCTTTCAGGACTTCTTGACTGATCTGGTGATGTCTGAAGTGGATCGCTGTGGGGACCATGATGAGTTGATCTTCAGAGAAAATACACTTGCCACCAAATCCATTGAGGAATATCTCAAGTTGGTGGGACAGAAGTACCTGCAAGATGCACTAGGTATAGAAACATTTCTCTATGATTACATTTGTTATTTCTTATTTTAAAAGTTCATTATGAATCCATTAAGGGAGAAGAGGTGGTCCCAGTTGCTGAGTCGTCATTGGGTCAGAGAAATTAGTTAAAGTAGCCCAATCCAAATATTTGGATGTGGGATGAAATACAGTATCTGCTGTAGTTTCTAACAAATTTGAGAATGTTAGATTCCTTTGAGAAGCAGAATGTTTTCATTATTCACATTATTCAGCCATGCAATATATGTGGCTTTTAATGTAGATAAGAGTACCTTAATCTTGTTCTATTCCTAATGTGTCTTCCTGTTCTACTATTTTAATTCTAAGCCCCTTTATTATTCCTTTTTAGTACTGTTGAAAACTATAATAAATCCCTTTAACTCAAACTCATGAGAAATAACTTGGGTGATGCCTAATCTATAGAGAATAGATTAGGAGTAATTAATGTAGGCATCACATGCTTTCCTTGCCCTTCTCTTAACTGGATTCCTAGTGCTCATCTGTAAATTCTATATCCTGATATCCCATAGCCCTTCTAAATAAGTAATTCTCCGTTTTGTCCCAAATTGTGGACAAATACACCTTGCCGCACAGCAGTACTCGGGCTATCAACGCAGGCTTACAAATTGTCAACCCAGCAGCCTAACCATGTGAGTACACACCCCTTTTTTTTGTAAATTTTTTATTAATTTTTTTCGTACAATTCAATAGTACTTATTCAACAATGTGTTGTCTGAGTTTATCATTCACTAATACAAATTTAATTCCTAATCCTTTATTCTTTTCTCCTGCCATTGATAAAACAAGTCCCAAGTCTGATAGCATTGTTTCTTCTTTTTCTTTCAACCTCATAGTACGTCTGTCCATTTCTGCACAATCTAATATTTTTTTAATTATTTCTTCTTCTGATGGTAATTCTTCCTTTTTCCAATATTGTGCAAATATGATTCTTGCCGCTGTTATCACATGTAAAATCAAATATATAATTTTGTTTATCAATCTTTTCTGGCATAATACCTAATAAAAAAAATTCAAGTTTAAAATCTACATGTTTTCCCAACATCTTTTCTAGCCAAGTATATATTTGTTTCAACACATGTCCACCATACATGATAATAAGTACCTGACTTATGTTTACATTTCCAACATCTATCTGACATATTTTAAAACATTTTTGCCAATCTTGCTAGTGGCAAGTGCCATCTATAAAACATTTTATATAAATTTTCTTTATAAAAAGCAGCCATTGTCAGTTTATAATTTCTTTCCCACAAGTTTTGCCATTTTTCTAATTCTATGTTATATCCAAAGTTCTTTGCCCATGTTATCGTTGTTTCTTTAACTTGTTCATCTTCCATTTTCAAATTCAATAAAAATGTATAGATTTTCTTAATTTGTTTCTCATCAGAGGTTAATAATGTCTGATCAAACAAAGTCTGCTCTTTATAAAATCCATACAGTTTGACATCTTTATCATATCTAACTTGCATTAATAGGTATGTCCATCATGCTAGATCTACACCCTGATTTTCCATCTCTTGCTTAGATTTTAAATTCCCTTCAGAATTTAGAATATCTCTATATGTCCATATTTTCTCAAAGTTAACTAAATTTGGATATATAAATGCTTCCATTGTTGAAAGCCATCCTTGTATTTTCAAATATATTTTACATTTTATTTTTCCCCATGTTAATAGTAATGCATTTCTTATGTAGAGGTTCTGAAAGTACTTATGCATTTTATTTTTCCCATACCATAAAAAGGCATGCCAGCCAAATTGTAAGTCATGTCCCTCCAAATATAACAACCTTTTGTTTCTGAGAGTTATCCATTCTTTTACCCATGTTAATACAGATGCTTGATAATATAAAACCCACTCTGGCAAGCCAAACCCTCCATTTTCCTTAGCTTCTTGTAGCATTTTCAATTTAATTCTAGCTTTCTTTCCTTGCCAAATAAATTTCAAATTAATGAATTTAAGTCTTCAAAAAAAAATTCTCTAGTTTTACAGGTATTGTTTGAAATAGAAACAGTATACTTGGTAGTATATTCATTTTCACCGTAGCAATTCTTCCTAACGTCAACAATTGCAAGTTTTTCCATTTTTCCAGGTCTTATTTGGTTCAATATTTTTATATAGTTATCTTCTTTTATCATTGAACATCTTGCTGTTAAATATATTCCCATATATTCAACCTTTTTAACTATTTGTAGTTCTATTTTTTCTGATATTTGTTGTTTTTTTTTGCTTATCTGTGAGATTTTTAATTATCACTTTAATTTTTTCTGTTTATTTTCAGACCTGCTATCTCTCCATACTGTTCTATCTTTTCCGATAATTTAGGAATCATCTCTAAAGGTTCTTCTAAAATAAATACCAAGTCATCTGCAAATGTTTGCAATTTATAAGTTTCACCTTTTATTTCTAGTCTTTTAATTTCTGTATCTTATCTAATATTTCTGTTAAAACTTCCAACATTAAGATAAATAATAATGGAGATACTGGACATCCTTGTCTTGTACCTTTTCTTATCTCAAAATTCTCTGTGTAATCTCCGTTCACAATCACTTTTGCTGGTTGTTTATGGTATATTGTTTCAATCATATTTATAAAGTTTTGTCCAAAGTCCATTATTTTGTTCAGTCATAAATTGCCAGGAAACATTATCAAACGCCTTTTGGACATCTAAAAATATTAGTGCCAATTGTTTCCCTGGATGCAGTTCATAGTATTCCAATATGTCCATTATAACTCTTAGATTATTTTTAATTTGTCTCTTTGGTAAAAATCCATTTTGATCTGGATGTATAAATTCATTTAAAAATCTTTTCAGTCTCTCTGTTGTTATTGAAATAAAAATTTTATAATCCACATTTAGTAATGATATCGGTCTATAATTTTTTATCTGCGTCAAATCTGAATCTTCTTTTAGTATTAAAGTAATATTTGCTTCTGTCCATATACTTGGAAATTTAGCTTCCAACAAAAGTTCATTACACACATCTTTCAACAGTGCACTTAATGTGTCTTGTAGGCATTTATATAACTTTGTTGGTAGCCCATCTGATCCCGGTGTTTTTTCATTTTTTTGTCTTCTTATAGCCTCTGTTAATTTCATCATTGTTATTTTTTCATTTAACATGATTTTAAAGTTTTTTGAAATTTTTGGTAAATTATTCTTCTCCAGATATTGAATTGTTTTCTCCCGTGAAATTTCTTCTATATCAGTGATGGCGAACCTTTTAGAGACCGAGTGCCCAAACTTCAACCCAAAACCCATTTATGTATTGCCGGGTGCCGGGTGGGCGTGGCTGATGGGTGGGTGTGACCCGCTGGGTGGGCGTGGCTACAGTGGTCATGGCAGACGGGTGGGCATGGCCAGGGTGGGCATGGCCAGCTCAATGTTGCTCCTGGGGAGAGACGCCTATGGGGGCCAGGCAGGGTTGGGGGAGATCCAGGGGTCTCTGGCGGGTGGGGCGGTGGGCAGGAGGCTGGTTCTGCAGGCGGAGGCGAGGCAGGGCAGGGGTGCCATGTCGCAGGGCAAGGCAAGGCAGGGGCTGGGGCAGCTGCTGCCTGACACCATTGGCCCCCGCAAACAAAGGCCAGCAAGCGCATGGGTGCTGGGATGTATCCGGCCACGTGGGACCTCGGCAAGTTAGTGGGTGGCTAGTTGAAGAGGACGGTTGCCATCTGCAGGGCATGGCACGCATGCCCACAGAGAGGACTCCGAGTGCCACCTCTGGCACGGGTGCCATAGGTTCGCCACCACTGTTCTACAGTATATCATATAGTTTCTCATAGTATTCTTTAATTATCTTTTTTATTTCTTGATTTTTAATTTGTAAAGAGTCTTTTTCATCTACTAAATTATTTATCATTTTTTTCTCCTTCTGTTTTCTAAATTTATAGGCTAACCATCTTCTGGGTTTGTTTGCATTTTCAAAAAAATTGTTTTGCTCTTTTAACTTGCTGCCAATTTTTCTGATTCCATTAAATTTAATTTATGTTTTATTATTTCCATTTGTTTTTTCAGTATTTTCTTTTGTAGATTTATTTGTAGTTCTAATTCTAGTTTTTTAAATTCCTCTCTTAATAGTATATATTGTTGTTGTTTTTTGTTTTTTTGTCATATATGTTATAGCTATACCTCTAAAGTATGACTGTATCCCATACATTTTGTAGTTTTGTATCTTCTTTTGTGTTTTCTTTAAAAAAGAACTCCATTTCTCTTGTTGCTAATTCATTGCTTATTTTAAGATGGATTGATTCAATGTTCATTTTAATTTTTTTTATATTCCTTTCCATGTCATTTTTAAAGGATTATGATCTGCCCATGTACCTAATTCTATCTCAATCTCCTGCATATTGGTCCTTAATTCAGGTGTCATCCAAATCGTGTCAATTCTGGACCAAGATTTGTGACTATTTGAATATAATGTATATTGTAATTTTTTCGGATTAGTTTCTCTCTAAATATCTTCTATCCCAATTTCCTCTATCATATGCCTTAGGAGGCCATTCCCTCCTATCCTCAGTTCTGTGTCCATTGGAGCATAGCCCCCACATAGAGAGAAGGCTGAAGCAAAATCAGAGATGAGGAACTCTTCTTCTGCCATTACCTATTAATTATTCCATTATCATCTTCTAGCAGTAGAGCCATCCCCCATTATTTGAACATTGTCAATACTAGGGACAGGTAGTACGGTGTGGTCCTCAATGGAACCGCATCTACATGGAGGGAAGTGTGTAGTGCGGTGCCCCAGGGCTCTGTTCTAGGCTCAGTGCTCTTCAACATCTTCATCAACGATTTGGGCGAGGGGATAGATGGGGAACTTATCAAATTTGCAGACGACACCAAGCTGGCAGGAATAGCCAACACTCCAGAAGATAGGCTTAAGATACAGGAGGATCTGGACAGACTTGAACACTGGGAGCTATCTAACAAAATGAAATTCAATGGTGAAAAAAGTAAAGTTCTACATTTAGGCAAGAAAAACCAAATGTACAGGTATAGTATAGGTGGTACCTTGCTCAATAGTAGCAACTATGAGAGGGATCTCAGAGTCCTAGTGGACAATCACTTAGATATGAGCCAGCAGTGTGCTGCAGCTGCCAAAAAAGCCAACACAATGTTAGGCTGCATTAACAGAGGGATAGAATCAAGATCATGTGAAGTATTAATATCACTTTACAATGCCTTGGTAAGGTCACACTTGGAATACTACATCCAGTTTTGGTCACCACAATGTAAAAAAGATGTTGAGACTCTAGAAAGAGTATAGAGAAGAGCAATAAAGATGATTCGAGGACTGGAGGCTAAAACATATAAGGAACAGTTGCTGGAATTGGGTATGTCTAGTTTAATGAAGAGAAGTACGAGGGGGGACACGATAGCAGTGTTCCAATATCTCAGGGGCTGCCACAAAGAAGAGGGAGTCAAGCTATTCTCCAAAGCAGCTGAAGGCAGGACAAGAAGCACCGGATGGAAACTAATCAAGGAGAGAAGCAACGTAAAACTAAGGAGAAACCTAGAACTAAGGAGAAACTTCCTGACAGTTAGAACAATTAACCAGTGGAACAACCTGCCTCCAGAAGCGGTGAATGCTCCAACACTGGACGTTTTTAAGAAGAGACTGGACAGCCATTTGTCTGAAATGGTATAGGGTGTCCTGCCTGAGCAGGGGGTTGAACTAGATGACCTCCAAGGTCCCTTCCAACTTCTATTATTATTATTATTATTATTATTATTATTATTATTATTATTATTATTATTATTATTATTATTATTATTATTATTATTATTATTTGTTCTATCCTACATTCAAACAGAGTTATTTGACTTCACTTCGAATCAAAGAAGGGAAAAATTGTTTATGGAGATTTATGGAATATTAATGTCCTGACATAAATTGTTGTTATACAGAATAGGCTATATAATTGTTTGTTCTATCAAAATTATCTAGAAACCTTTTAAATATTTTTTTCTTGTGCCTTCTTCTTATTACCCAATTGTTAGGTGAATTTATCAAGGCATTATATGAGTCGGATGAGAACTGTGAAGTGGATCCCAGCAAAAGTCCACCTAATGAATTAGCTGATCACCAAGAAAATCTCAAAATGTGTTGTGAGCTAGCCTTCTGCAAAATTGTCAATACCTACTGGTGAGTGGATGAAGGATTATTTCTTGTCATTTACAGGAAATACTTGCTGAAACAATGCTAGAAAAACCAATTCAGTTTTTGGGGAAAAAAATAAGTATGAAGAGATATTTAGCAAAATGAAAGGCTGGTGGTTCAATGAGTCTCAAAGGTCTCAAGGCAGGTATCCCCAGACACCGCATTGCCTATCTGAAGGCAATTAAAAGTCATGATGCTACCTTCGATCTTCCCTTTCACTAGGAATGTAATGTTTTAATTGGGAAAAGTGAAGGATTCCATAGGCAAACTCAGCCAGCAGCTGTGTTTCTTCAAAGCCACTTAATAGGAATTAGACAAGGAGTGGTATGTGTTTCTTACGTCATTTTTTACACAATGCTGTATACTCAAGAGGAAATGAGACTATGCAATTGATTTTATAAATACAAAGAAACATGCATCTATTCATATTTTACCTGTTCTGACTCCTTGTAGAACAAAATACAGAATCTAAGGCAAATCGGAAGATGCATCTAGTAGTACTTGATGCGTCTCATTCTGTAGAATTTCTGTAGAAATTATAAGGGTCTGAGTAGCAAAAACTAGGCTACAGTTATGAAACATTTGCCATTAGATAGTGACAACACTGATGAACTGGAGTTGGACCTAGCCCAATAGCCCAGTCCCATCCACAGTGTATCAGCTTATTAGGAATGAAATTCGTGTCAGAGGAAGCATTAGTTCCCAAGCTCGTGAAAGTGATTATTAGTATTTATTGATAATTCTACCCTAGGTTTTTTTCCAAGTGTAGACAAGAAATACCCTTATCAGTGTGTTAATAAGTATAATATTGGAATTTCATAGCAAGAGAAGCAACTTCACTTGTTTATCCCAATGAGAATTTGCCAAATATTGTTATTTTTTTCAGTGTCTTTCCTCGGGAGCTGAAGGAGGTATTTGCATCATGGAAGCAGCAGTGCCTCAAACGGGGAAGGCAGGAGATCAGCGAACGCCTGATCAGTGCCTCACTTTTCCTCCGATTCCTTTGCCCAGCCATCATGTCTCCAAGTCTCTTCAACCTCATGCAGGAATACCCTGATGATAGTACCTCTCGTGCACTCACACTAATTGCAAAGGTTATCCAAAACTTAGCAAATTTTACAAGGCAAGTGATTTTTCATTATTTGTAAGGATCATTAAGGGATTTACTGTTATTTTATCATTGTGACGTGTGTTGTTTCATAGGAATGATTTGGCCTTATCTCTGTTCATAGTATATAGCAGACATGTCAAACACAAGGCCCAGAGGTCAGATGCGGCCCGCGAAGTGGTTTCATGTGGCCCGCAAAGCCATCCTGGAAACAGTGAGGGAACGGCCCCCACTGCCTTGGCCCTGTCCCAGGTCGGCCGGGAGCCAATGTACAATTTTGTGGTGGCCATCTATGCTGAAACGCATTCAATCTTAGCTCCACAAGGCCATCTGGAAACAGCAAGGAACCAGCCCCTGCTGTGTCAGCCCCACCCCCTGGGTGCATGCTGGGGAGGTGTCACCCTTTGTGAAGAAATGCACCATCGCTTGGAAGTGGCCAGCAAATGGCACTTGCCTACTTCACATATCTGGCTTGATTGGCTCCAGGGGAGGGGTTTCAGCAGGCAGTGAGGCTCCTCCAGTGGACCATGCCTTGGCACTTGCCCCGGTCCCACCCCCTTCTGCCAGAGACCCTTAGATCTGTCCCACTCCTGCCCAGGCCCCCACAGGCACCCTTGACGCGAACGATGTAAAGCTGGCCATGCCCACCCAATAGGCCACACCTACCCGGCCAGTAGGCCACACCCACCCGGCCCCCCAAGGGCAACCGCAATGCTGATGCGGCCCTCAATGAAATTGAGTTTGACACACCTGGTATGTGGAGACTTGTATGTGCTGAAATTCCATGTTCAGAAATGTACATCTCAAAGTTACATTTCTCTGTTTCAGATCAAAAAGCGATAAAAACATTATAAACAGAAGTTCCCTCTTAAATAATAGAATGTAGGATAGTGGAGCATAGAAGGCTTGGATCCCATCAGCCCAACTATTTTCTCTGGAAAGATGGTAGATGTGTTGCATCCCAGGCCAGTGTTTAGGGAAGAGGAAGCAACCTGTCCTTATTAGCCCCAGATACTGGTTAGCTTTCACTTGTGGCATTCATAATCCTGTGATTTGACGTTATGTGTAATTTGGATTTCACTTGCTACTATTACAGATTGGGGCCAAAGACGATAATTAAGATAATGATGTTATTAACAGATAGACTCATGTGCGGCTTTTCATTTTCAGTTCTAATTCTCAACAAATGAACTTTGTGAAGCCAAGAAACCTCTAAGGATATTTGGGGGGTGGGCAAAGAAGGGGAATACATGCCAGGTGTAACGACTGCTCTCTCACACTAACTTTGTCTCTCTATAATGACTATCTGCAACATTATTTAACTAGGTATTACATGTAGAAATTGCCACTCAGTCACAGAAATATTGTTTTGTGTCTGGGAATATTTGAAGCAACATTGTAGGATCACCATTTCCCTTGAAAACTTCCTGCCCAACTGCTGACCTTCTTTCTCCCCTCCCTCTGTTTTCCTCTCTCCCCAACTCAGATTTGGGAACAAAGAAGAATATATTACCTTTATGAATGCCTTTCTAGAGCATGAATGGGCAAATATGAAATCCTTCTTGGCAGAAATTTCTAATGAGGACACCATTTCTAATAAGCCAGGATTTGGAGGATACATAGATCTGGGAAAAGAGTTTGCTGTCTTGCATTCATTGCTGTGGGAAGTTGTCTGGGAACTGGACAAGGTAAATTAGTTTGAAGGCTGGGAAGGGCTGGCTAGGCACAACTTTTCCACAAACTGTTCCTGGGTAATGATTAAAGTTAACTTTAACTTTTTTTTTTAAGTAAGGGGTTATAACATCATCTATTTTTTAAAAAGAGTGTAGACCTAGCATTGGGAATCAGTAGAAAGACAGTAGTGAAATTTAATTGGCGCTGAACTTTCATCACTTTGGGCTTGGGTTAAACTGCATTTTTTAAAAATCCTAAATTCTAAAGCAAATGAAAGCACTTTTCCCATCACATCTGTCATTTATATTGCTTTAGAACAATTTTGTTTTGAAGAAAATTATGTTTGATTATCTTCTCCTAAAATAAAAGCCATACTCTAATAGTTTGGAGAGAGCCAGGTTGATGTAGTGGTTAAGGCACCAGGCTAGAAACTGGGAGATAGTGAGTCCTAGTCCTAATCTAGTCTAGTCTAATCTAATCCTGCCTTAGACACAAAGCCAACTGGATGACCTTGGGCCAAACACATTCTCTCATTCCTAGGAAGGAGGCAGTGGCAAATCACTTCTGAAATCATACTAAGAAAATTGCAGAATGCAGTCCAGGCAGTCACCAAGAGTCAACCGTATACATACATACATAACAGACATTCCTATATGGTGCTGCTTCCTTTCTTGAGAATCATCAGTGGTGACCAGGCAACGAGTTACTATCATCTATGGAGGGATCACTTGAGATCCAATCCAGGAAGTTATGGAGTACTTTTTGTCCAGTAGTTGTGATTATAAACAAATTATATGATTGTTCATTCCTGTTAGTATTTATAAGTCAAAATACGATTTAAATAGCTTTGTATATGTCCTTGCACTTCCTTGTGGTTTCTTTCAGTGCTCTTGCCAAATTGCTGGTCTCAGACTATAGCAGCATGCATTTAATTGACCACAATCTTTCCCCCACAGACAAAAATCCCTTTTTAGTTTTCTGGATTACACTTTAATTTAGTAGTGATTTTAGTATTACTCCATCTCACCCTGTGCCCTCTACCCTGGGCTTTGATTGCAGTTTGCTTTGCAGGATAGAAATGCATTAGGTTTATGAGCATTAACTTTTTATTTTGGAGGCTCAATTTTTAATTTCTATTTCCTTTTCTTTCCTCAATGTCTACTGCACCCTCTTTCATCACCACCATCCATTGGGTCATCGTGGTCCTGCTGCTCCATAACAATGCATTGTTTTTTTCCACTCCCACATATAAATGCCCATCTTGTTTTCTTACAACTTCCACTCATCCATCCACATTCATCATTGTTTAATTTAAAAAAAACAACCTCTGAAATGAATGCTACATTGCTTATTGATGAATCAGGGTGAAAATTCCTTCCTACAGGCCACAGTAGAAAAATTGGGTCCTTTGCCAGACATTCTCGCTGACATCGCAAGGGATACAACACACTCTCTGCCCATCCAGCAACAGCTGAGACGTTATCCAGATCATAATTCAAGCCCCAATGTCAGTCTCTCTTCTGGGCTGCAAAAAATATTTGAAGACCCATCTGACAGGTATGCATTGTCTGGCTATTGTTCACATTATGTGGAAGAAAGAGAGATGCACAATTTTGTTCAGCTTGATAGGAAAAATAAGAAGTAAAATTTAGAGTAATGCCCTAATTACATGAGTGGGGCTTTGCTGAAAGCAATAGTTTAGTTATGATAGTGCTTTATTCTCCTAACTGGATAATTGCTTTATTCAGCCCAGTATTTTTAATCCTACATATGCTTCTCCAAGTCAAAATCTTTATCCAGATTTGCTACCTGAGATCCTTTGGCAATAATAGGATGAGTTTTTCTACTGTATGTACAAACATGTACTCGTATCAATGTGAACTACAGCCTATCCTTTAAACTCAGAAACCGTATAAGAAAGAGTGTGTCTGTGTGTGTGTAAAGAGGAATAACATTCCAAATATGTTACCTATGACCTACAGTCTGAAGAGGAACAGTCCAAAATTCCACTGCCACAATTTAAGAATTACTGCAAACTGCCAATAAGTTTTAGTCACAGTTTAATTAATTAAACAGACACTGTTTAATCAAATATTGTACTGATAATGTAATAAGAGGAGCACTAGGAAGCAGTTAGCTTGTATGCAGAGATGGTGCTCTGCTGACAAGTAAAGAATTTATTTTCTTGTATTAAAAGTATTTAACATGGTATAATAGATAAGAATATTCTTGCTACTTCGTCACAGTAATCCTTAAGAACAAAAGTAGGCTGATTATATCTTCTTTCATGGATCAGACTTCATACTATTGTGCTTACTGTATTGGAGTTCTTATTTCACATCAAAGATGCTGCCTCATTTTCTCTAGATTTTTGTTAATGCAGGTTATGAATATTTATTGCTATGACAAATAAGGCCTCCCTGTTCATCATAAAAAAGACACATTATGACAAATTTGGGTTTTTATCTTACTTTATGTCAGGAGTCCCCAACCCCTGGGCCACCTCTGGGCCTTGAGTCATTTGGAAGCAGGCACACGCACATCCCCACTTATGTGAACAGTGGCCGAATGTATTTGTGTGCGCTCCATTTGCGCAAGTAGTGAGTGTGCGTGCCCTCCACTCACACAAATGGAGCTGCGTGCACACATGCTTGCCCGCTGCTTGTGTGGAACCATCCCCTCTCTTCCCCCCACCAGCCTACGATTGAGTAATGCAGGCATGTTGGGCAGACAGAACTTCTTTTGAATAATTACGGTTTTATCTTTTATGTGCTTTATACTTTTTATCCATACAAAAAAGATATACATCTGAAAGGAGTAATTTCTCCCCATTAGGGCCTTTTTACTTTATGCTTATGGGTGGAGCCGTTAATGGAAATACAAAACAAAAATAAGAGCAGTAGAATAAAGTTTTTATGATTCACCTGCAGCAACCAGAAAGACTGATGCAGGCTAAAATTATTAAGATTAGAATACTAAAACAAATGCATAGATTAGGCATTGCATTAAATGTTCATTTTCAGAACAATGTTGCTCTCTTAAGCAACCACCAACTTACCCCTTTCAACAATCATTGCTTCTGAATGGGAACCAAGATGACTTTTGGTTCCATTCCCGTACATAAATGACACCACTGCCCACCTAGGCTATTCCACTTCAGTGACTCATAATATGGAGATTTATATGGAACCCGAGAAATTGTTTAAGCAGAAATATGTGTGTGTGCATGCAAATAAGCAGATATAATGTTATGACCGTGATTGTTTGGATTCTTTCTCAGTGAGCTCAAGTCGAAGTCTGCCCCTCCAGCAAATGAAGAATATTTCAAAGGCAAATTGCTCTTGATGCAGCAGACATCATCCCGGAGTGTGACTTATTCTGATCAAGGGGACGAGACCAATCTGCCCAATGTCCGAAGCATATCGCTAATGAATCTCCAGGATCCCAATGTCACACCGTGTGAATCTGGATCCATGATGCACGAGGCCCCAGTACGTTTATCTGGCAGTCAGATTTCAGTCGTCCAGGTGGCAAGTATCAAGCAGCTCCACAGAACACCACAGACCGCCCCCCAAGTCAGGAGACCTCTTCACTCAGCATTAAACCAGCCAGGCATTCTTCAGGCTCTTTTTTTCCAGAATCCAGTTTATCATCTCAATAATTCTCCTCAGCCAATGCCTAAAGTGTCCATGGAATCAAGCCTGGATAACCTGAGTGTCACCAGTTCCCGAAGCCAGAATAGTGAAGACCTTAAACTTAGTGTACCCAGCAATAGCAGCATGGAGGATTATGCCAAACGCAGCACTCAGAATGAAGATTTTTCTGGGCAGGCCACCATGCTGGACAAACAAGCTTTGCCAGCTCGTCAGAGTTACACTGTCCAGGTCCAAATCCACAAAGCAGACCAAGCAGGACCCAGTGCAATGATCAGGTCACCCCACTCTCTTCCCCACAGTGCCTCTCTTCGAAGCACAGGCAGCATGTCTGTAGCATCTGCCACGATGGCAATGGAACCTCTTCAGGAGGGAAATCAATCCCGGCAGCAGTCTTCCTCCTCCCGAGAGAGTCCAGTTCCCAAAGTGCGAGCCATTCAGCGGCAGCAAACACAACCGGTAAGATAATCTGCTTTTAGACTGGACTGCCATCTGTCAGAGATGGTATAGGGTCTTCTGCTTGGGTGGGGGGGTTGGACTGGATGACCTATAAGAACCTTTCCAACTCAAGTTATTCTAATTCTAATTCTAGAAAAAAAATTCTAAATAGGAGACTACTGTTTCTTTCTTTAGGATACATATTTTGTGAGACATATGATCTGCAGTATTTTTGTGGTATGTTGGATAGGAGAAATAGGAAACTGCAACTGGCTTCTTTGGAATCATGAACAAGAGAGTTTGTGATGTAGACAGACAGACTTCTTCATACATGGTGCCATTAGCCATGGTTTTGCTACCCACAGTAGAATCTTTCCCATTTCCGTATTTTATTCCTTGCATGAAATGGCAGGCAACCTTTCGTAATCATAAAGTACTTTTTTCATAGCCTTGGTATTTGTGGCACTAACATTGGGATGGTGCCCAGAGAGTGACAAAGACCATTTGTAGTTTGGTATGCCTCTTCAGCCTCCATACTCTCTGTTCCTTGGACAGCAGCTGTTCAGTGGCACATGAATGGAGTTGTCTCTCCAGCAACAAGCAAAATAATCATACTATCTCATTCTAGGGCTTGATATTTGGCACATTTTCAAAAAAGATTGAAGGCATACGATATTTGGTGTACCTGTTTTATTTACACTTGTGGGTATGCACATATGTGCTTATATAAAAGGAAAAATAAGTTTATCAACTGGAAATACAGCATATAAAAGAATATAAGAGAATAGAGAAATGTTTTGATAAGATAAACACAGGCTTCAGAAATAGAGAAAGGAGGAAATGATATCATCTGTTTACTAGTTTACCACCATAATTACTGATTATGACATATATAATGTTCTTTGAATGATCAAATAGTCATTTTTAACAATTAAAATGGTTTCTTTTAATCCTCTCAGCCTTTCTAGGCAGTCAATTTTAATGCTAAGAAAAATAATCTTGAATGGATGGAAAATAATGTTGGTTTATATTTTATTTATATTCATTCATTTATTCGTTCATCATTTTTAAAGTGTGACTCTGGGTGGAATTAACTACAAAAGGTTAATAATGTAAAAACCAATCAATAGTTTAAAAAAACTATTACAAGTAGTCCTCGACTTATAACATTTCAGCCCCGAATTTTAATTGTAACTTGTTGGGTCATAAATCATGTGACTGGACCTGATTTTACATCTGCTTTTACAACTGTTAGTAAATGAGTCACTAGTGTTGTTAAATGAATCATGTGGTCATTAAGTAAAACATGTGGTTTTAAGTCCGAATCCAGCTTATCCACTGTGCACGAAACAACAAAAAGTCACAAAATATGATAATGTGACCATGGAATGCTGCAATCAGTTTTAAATATAAGCCAATTTCTAAGTACTTGAAATGTGATCACTTGACCACGGGGAGGGTGCAGTAGTTGTAACTTCAAGGACTATTCATAAATCAAGGACTACCTGTACAATTTTAAAAAGGCTAGGAGAGAACAACAGATATTAACAATAATGGAGCCACCTCAACAACCTACAGTTCCCTTGGGGCCCCCAAGCCTGATGACATAGCCAAGTCTGGAGGGATTTGTGAAAAATGAACAGACGTTCAGTTGAAGCCTTGTTGTTCCCCATCCTGACCCTCACAGCCTCCAGGCGCCACAATAAGACATCAAAGCATTGTTGTTTAAAATTATAAATTATCGCAGCCTTTTTCTTATTTTCTTCTTGTGATAACACAGAAGCATAAGCATCTGACAGTGGTTGTTAAAAGAATTGTGGTTTAATATACAATATGAAGCAACAATAATGAGGGAGCATACAGAATACAAGATAGTCAGTTATATTCAAACGTTGAAGTGAGCAAGCAGGTTCCAACTGCTATTCTTCTCAGACACAGTTTCTTAAAGGGATACTATCCCCAAATACTCTGCTGACTCATTCTCTATATATCACTTCTGCCTGTCAGCTACTAAATCATAATTACCTTGACAAGCATCACTTAATTCACCAGAGGCAGAGAAGTATAATGGGTATCAGCATATTGATGACACTTCCAGCCCATGGCAATAGATGAGCTCACCCAGCAGCTTCATATAGAGATTGAATCGGCAAGGAGAAAGCACCAAACACTGCGGCATCCCACATAGTAGGAGCCAAGGGCCGGATCTCCTATCCCCAGTCCCTACTGACTGGTATTGATCCTGGAGAAGGAGATGAACCAGCACAATACAAAGCTGCCCACCCCAAACCCCAGAGCAGCTCAGAAGGTTATTATGGTAAAGGCTACTCAGAGGTCAGGCAGAGCAAGGATGGTTGCACAACCCCCATCCCATTCCCTCCAGAGATGCAACCAATGCTGTTTCTGTCCCTTATCAGGCCTGAATCCTGCCTGATTATATAACTGGTTATTGGTAAGTCACTGGGTACCTTAGGCTGATTTTGGCCATGAAAACCGCACTGATGAATTTTGCACAAAATATCATGAAAATCATCTTGTAATCCACAAATCTCCTAGAAACAGCTATAATATACATGTATGCATAGATGTACGTGTGCCACTATGCTTACATAGTCCTTGTTGGTTAAAAAGGCATTTTCATATGATTACCCTCCAGGGAGAAGCATTTGTGCCTTTGGGGTATATTCCTGGAAATGCCAGCAAATAAACAAACTCTTAGTTGAAGAAAGTAGAGACTTGTGCAGCTGAGTTCTTGGGTAGAAAGAAGCAAAATAGCTTCTAGCTGTGATTGATGCCTGTGTGTGACCCCAAGTAAATCCAGAGGAACTCTCCTTTTGCAATTTAACCACTCATCTCGATTGATGGGCTGCCTTCTATTTCCTTATTGAAAGCGGAGTAGTCTTGCTTCAAACAGCTGCGGTAGTGTTTGTGATGTTATTAGATCCTTTGGCATCCCTTGATGCTGCTCCTATGCCTCCAGCCAGTGCAGTTGTTCTCTCTGTCAAAGCCTTGGGCTTCTGAGGGTGCCAATTTTTCCTCCCCTGACTCCAGTGGGTTGAATCTACTTGTTCATTCCATTCTTACAAAAACTCTTTGGTATGTTGTAAGCACAAGAGATATATCCATGAATACTGGCACATATTTTTAAATTACAATTAAAATTTCTAATTAGAATTAGAAAAATGGAAACAATATATTTCTGTAGATGAATATATGAATGTATGACTTTCCATCGAGCTTAAACGTTGTCCTTGATTCCTTTGCATTTGCTTACATTTTTCACTTTGAAAGATGTGGTTAAAGTATCTTTCATTGTCTCATGTAAAAATGTCTATTCATGAGCAAAATATGAATAAAGATAAATACTGTGGTCAGAAATCACAGTGCCTTTATAGAAGTGTATAAAAGTAGCATGTGTTCAATATCTGTACCACATATGTTCCTATTTCTGACATCAAAAATAATAATACAACTCCTGCCACATAACACAACAGATGTAACAATTGTTGATAAGAAAGACAAAAGTGTCTGGATGATGAATATTGCACCTGGAGACAGCAGAATAGCAGAAAAAGAACTGGAGAAAATCTTAAAATACAAAGACTACCAAATAGAATAACTATGACAAAAGAAAGCAACAATAGTATCGATAGGCATCTTTGGTGCAATCCAAAACAGTCCTAAAACACTTGAACGCCATTGACTTTGACAAACTTATCATCAGACAATTGCAAAAGGCAGCTTTACTTGTAACAGCTTCTATCCTACGACAATACCTTTAGCACCATCAAACAAGATCTGTCTTATCCCAGGTCCTTGGGAAGAACTCAATAGGTGGATTAATAGTGACAAATTCCAGTCTAAATATCTGGCTGACTGTGCATCCAAGAACATAATAATAAATAATAATAATAATAATAAATATTCAAAACTATCATAGGGATTGAAGGGTAAATTAATCAAGATATGCGATGGTACATAAACAAAAGACAATGGTCTATTTTTCCCCAGTGCAGATTGAATCCTTAGAATTTGTTTTTGAAAGTCACCTTGGAAAAGTAAAAAGGACGTTTCAGATTTGGCTGAATCCCAAATCAATTCTGTGGTTCTGGGGCAATTTAGGATAACCTTCAACCTAACTATAGCTGAGTCTGAATATTGTTGATACTTTACAGGCAGAAAAGCATGACATCTGCAAAATGTATTGATCCATATATATTTTTCCATGCATGGAATATGGCAATGTATTTGTTGTGATTCCTTGCCAGCCAGTGGATCCAGCAGCTGAGTCTGAGGAATCAGATGAGGAGGAGGGGCCTGGAGTGAATTAGAGTCAGAGGAAGGCTCTGAGGAACTCCAAGACTTACAGTCAGACAAGGAGCCTGGCCCCTTTACTCGTGCTCAGGCTGAGACACAGCTGTGCTGGGAGTCTGAGTTGGACAGTGATGAAGAACAGTTGGGACAAATCCTGGATGCACAAATGTGCAAGAGAAGAAAGTAGGACAGAGGAATGCAATGGGGTGACTCCAAAGGCAAAGGAGAAGGCATTAGGAAGCCATGCCTTGGCTGAATTATAAAAGGGAAGGTGTGGGAGGTGCTGGTTGCCAAAGGCAACCATTCGTGTTGAGGATTCAGTTTCTGTGGACTGTGTTTGTTTGCCTTGGACATTGACTCAAGTCTGTGAGAATAAAACGGGTTGGTTTTTTCTTGCAGTTCCTGCCTGTTTCTTGGAAGAGGGGTTTTTCCTTGTGAGCATAACAAGGACTCACATAGGCTGGGACAGAACAGTATTCATGAGAGCAAGATTGTCTATACCCTATATTGTTTTTATTATGAATAGAAATAGCCAAATTTGCAGAAGTGGAACAAATGGTTCCCCCTATAATCTCATATTCCTTGAAATAGTTCCAATATTTAAAAATGACTTTCCTAAGTGATCCATATGGATCACTTAGTATCAGCTGTTCTTTTTCCTATATAGCAAGGAAGCTGATACTGCATATTTTCTGTTTTTTCTGCAGGAGATAAGAACAGTCACTGGTTGTAGGGTTTTATGTAGGGTTCCAATGAATAACATACCATCAATGGTGAAACTGACTAGGAGCTGTGTTCTTCTATGTACATCTCATCCAACTATAACTGTCTTTCCTTGCTTCTTCTATACAGTGGTCCTTTACAGAGCACCAGTACTTGCCTAAAGCAAAGAGAGATCTATTTTGTCTGCCAAAGAGAGCTTGGCTATCACTGTCAAACGTAAAGCAACTTTTGAACTGTAGTGAAGCTACAATTCCTTATTCCTTTCAGTACTTGTGGACATCTTAAGTATGACTACATAAAGAAATCGTATTTATACAGCTTTCTCTCTCTTTGTGTTCAAATATTCTAAAACTTTCTTCTTCTAAGATGCTGAAGTTGCTATAAATTGATAAGACATGTGTATTTCAACAACTGAAGAATATTCTTAGAGGCAGTTACATCCAAGTTAGTGAAATTGGTTCAAAACAAGAGTAGATATATGGAACAAAGCCTGCTAAATACTTCCACTGTGGCCTGACCAGGTGCAGCCCATGAAATTCTAAGCTTGTAATAAAACTTAGAGTGTCAGCGCTGACTTATCAAAATAGTTGCAAGCAACCTGGAACAAATATAAAGATATTAGAAAACCAATTCTGCAATTTAAATGCATTTGAGGTCCATATCACTTGTCACTACCCCCCCCCAGTTTAAATTTATAGGAAACACTGCAAATTTAAAAAATATAAATATAGAGGCCAGTATTTAGATAGTTTAATTCTTTTTAAAAGTGGCAAGTTATTAAGCCTTTAAGAAGATAGAAATAAGTTTATTTTTAATAGTGTATCTAACACCCACATATAGATCATTTTTATTACTTTCTTTTGAATCACAGCAAAATCATTCCACTCCAAAGGGACTTCTTGGGATACTAATTTAGTATCCAAAATGAGCAATTTTCCTGAAAGAAAAGGGAAATTTTAACAGTTAACTGGTGTTCTTACATATCTATGTCCATAGAAATGATTTGCACTTTTCTTACTGATATTCAAGGAAATGTGATTGATTCTCCCCATATATATTTTCACTTTCAAGTTACCATAAGGGGTTGACATAACATGGAGAAATTGCTCCCAAGCAATGGTCAAAGAAAGTTTCAGCACCAGGTTGTCTTCTGGACAGTGAACAAGAAGGCTCTCTTTTGTTCTACCTGCAGGTGCAGTCACCTGTAGATTCTGCCACTATGTCACCTGTGGAAAGGACAGCTGCTTGGGTCTTAAACAACGGACAGTATGAACAAGTGGAGGAAGAGGCAGAGCAAAATCCAGATGAAGCCAATCATACAGAAAAGGTAACAGTTATCTAGGTTCTACCTTCTAGCCACATCTACAAGAAGTCACTGGAAAATATAACGTGCAGAGATCATCAGTATAAAGTTGCACAGCTCTTTTGTTCGATTATCAAACATCTGGATGTTGCTGTTTTTCCTTTGTCAGGGCTTGGAAGCTAGGCCAGATAATTGGGGGCTAGAAGTTGTGTTCAGATAAATCAGGAATCTTTTAAGATGGCTACTTTCAAAACCATTGAGTTGATTTTCCTATTCTTTGGGATTCAGTGTCCTTTTTAAAATGTTTATATTCAGAGAGTTATTTTTAATTCAAGCTCTTGTAACAGCAGAATACTTTGTGGCTGCTTCTCTTGCTTTTCCTGCTGGACCCTTTCTTGGATACTCAGAGTACTACAAAACTAATCCATGTTGTCACATCCTTCAAGATTTCCTGGTCTATTGTCCTTGGAAGTCAACTCAGAAGCTCCAGCTAAGAAAAGAGGCTACACAGTCTAGTGAAAATGAGTGAGGCTGTCCAAACACATTTCTTCATACTGGCCATGGTTGCCAGTATGTTTCTAGATTCAGTTCAGTGCTTTCACATGCTAATGAAGTTCTTCACAACTAGAGTCCAACATGCTTAGGTAAAGCTGGTAGTACTCCTGTATCAGTATAGCAGCTGTTTGCAATACCAGTTCCATATATGAAAAAAGTTACATGCTTCTAAAATGAAAATATTTTTAAATAATTTATTTAGGGCTTTCGGTTGTTTCTTTCTCATGTTACTGGCTTCACTTGTTTATTTTTGTTGATGCTTCTAGTAATGACTTTTTATTATTTCTCTTATGCTGCCTTGAGTCCTGGAAACTGGCTTAGGAATTACTAAATAATGAAAACTTTTACCTCCCGTCCTCCCGTCTTCAGTATCAGCAAGAGATTGTCAAGCTCAAGGATCGCCTGAAGGCATCAAGTCGCCGGTTGGAGGAGTATGAGCAGCGTCTCCTAGTGCAGGAACAACAAATGCAGAAACTCATTTTAGAGCACAGATCAATGATGGAAGACAGCAAGGAGCGGCTGCGAAAGCAGCAGGAGGAGAAGGATAGCCAGATGAAGAGCATCATCAGCAGGTTAGGGAGGGAAGAGCTGAAGGGAGAAAGTTCTCTCTACTTCTAACAGTGGCATCCTTTGTGAAATGTGACCGTTGCTTGCTAAATGGAAATCTTTACCTTGCATATAGCATAGATTGCTCATAGTCCAAATTCATACTGTTATTTGATGTTGTTAGACCGCATTATGTGAATAAGTTCACATGAGTTCAAAGGCTATGTAGTTTATATTCAGTTTCACTGCAATGCAATTTAGGCCAAGCGATTGTGAATTCTGGAAACTGAAATCCCAATTCATGGAGATGATGATATTTGGGCTGGTGTAGGCATCCCGATTTCCTTGTAGCACCCACTCAAAACAATTTGGAGCTTATTCATTGAAATGCTTGTTCAAGGAATAAAACAGCAGATGGCAATCTTTTCATCTTTAGCATCTTCACTAAGCCAATGTTTTGTCTTGTTTTCTTTTGTGATGCTCCAGATATCCAAACTCTTGCCTTTCTTTTAGATTAATGGCTGTGGAAGAGGAACTAAAGAAAGACCATGCAGAAATGCAAGCGACCATTGATGCTAAGCAGAAAATAATTGAGGCACAAGTAAGGACCAATGTTTTTACTTATCTATATAGTTACTACTCCTTTGCCATTCCTTATCTTTTCATTGTTCCTTATTCTGAAATTAAGGCTCCGAGTCCTGTTTTCAGAGGCAGCATCTTTGTGGTTCAAGAGGAAATAGAAAAGGGATGACTTTTCTCTTAGCCCAGAACATAATAGATCGAAGTGTCTATCATCCAGATACTCAAAGCTTCATGTGCTCAAAGCCATGGTTGCAGAATTCTGTCCGATACACAATGCTTTGAATTATAGCTTTTAGTTGCACTTACTGTAAAATAAAACAGGACAAAATAGGACTTAAAACACAAAATAATTTTAATCTCTTCTTTATGCTACAATTATGAGCCCTATACATGAAAAATATCCTTTGCCTATAGAATCATCTTGTACTTTAACACTGATCAATGTTAGGGTCAGCATTAGCCACATTTTCCTAAATATACCAAGATGAAAGAGCTAGAAAATGCTCTAAGCTGCTTTTGTAAATTTTCCGTGGCTTTGTTGTTATTATTACTGTTCCTTCAAGTCAATGTTGACTCCTGAAGATTACCTGAACAACTCCCTGAAGTATTCTTGGCAAAATTTCAGAAGTAGTTTGCCATTGCCTGCTTCTTAGGGATGAGAGAGAGTGACTGTCCCAAGTCACCCAGCTTTGTGCCTAAAGTGGGACTAGAACTCATAGACTCCCAGTTTCTAGCCTGATGCCTTAATTACCATACCAAACTGTCTCACTCCATGGCATTCCATCCATTTAAATGTACTGATATTACTTTGGTTGTAACTCATGTTTATAAGTAAGCGTTTGCTTAGTGTCCTGTGATGAATATAAATGTTCTCCTGGTTTTTTCACCTTTAGCCCAATTTTATCAAGCAGGGTTTTTTCACCTTTAGCCCAATTTTATCAAGAGAAGAAATATTTTCTGAATATTTTGTTTGAAAAGCTGGTTTTAAGTATGGAATAATGCCACAGGATTTACAATATGGACTTCTGGAGATTGAATAAAGATAGTGGCTAAATGGAAAGCAAATTTCCCCAGCTCACTGAATTGATACAAACACAATTTCTGTTCTTTAGTTATTTATGAATGATGTTCTATATGGTTGCTGAGAGCTAAGCCCACCTGGGTTATCTTCAAGCTGTTTGATTCATTCAGAGCAGCATGGAATCTGGCTAAGGGCTTTGTGATAGATTATTCCAACAAGAGAAGAAAAAACAAAAACTCCAAACAAAATTCCCACTGGCTGTGTGAGAATTCTGCTGCCCTTGCTTTATCCCACAGAGAAGCTTTGTGGAATCAGGAACGGCAGAGACTGATTTCCCACCCTGTGCTTAGAATGCCCTCTTTCCATCCACTCATCAGCAAATCCTTTTTTTCCTGTCAGTCTGTTTTTGCCTGTTGAAGGTATGGTAGCCTGTATATCACTACTGCTTCCCCCCCCCCCTTTAATTAACAGACCTGTATTGTGAGAGCTACATCCGTTTGTAATGGCAATTGACATCATCTCTGTGTTAAATTACACTTCTTAAAAGGGGGATGAGATAATTCAAATGTCTAATCAGATCTCTAGCAGAGTACTGTTCTGGCCTGCCCTAGTGCACTTAATATTTCCCCAATCCTACCCTTATGCATTCCAGTTTCTGCTGCTCTCTGAATTTGTTTGTGAATTTCATAATCCATAAGGATTTCATTCTAAAGAACTTAATAAATTTATGTTTTGCAACTTTTATAATGATGATGATGATGATGATGATGATGATGATGATTGATGATGATGATGATGATGATGATGGAAATGAACTTGGAGGTCATCTAGTCCAACCCCCTGCTCAGGCAGGAAACCCTATACCATTTCAGACAAATGGCTGTCCAGTCTCTTCTTTAAAACTTCCAGTGTTGAAGCATTCACAGCTTCTGGAGGCAATTTTATGACATTATAGGAAAATTATTTCTGAGAAGGAACTGATTGCTTTAGGGAGATGGGGAGTGAGATCCAATCGGACAAAGCACTGGACTTCATAAAAAATGAGTTGACTATAGGCAATTTTAATTACAGTATCACTTTGCTCTCATGACTGTACAGTTGCCTCTTTTCACAAACACATTCCATATATTTACACCTGTTAGATGTTAGCCTTTTCAAACCCGAGTACCTTTCAGATGCATGTCTAAATCTTCTGTGTAGCTGACAAAACTCCTTCTGACAACCACTTTTCACATTGTTTCTGACTATGTCCACAGTGGGAAAATGGGTAACAAGCACTTTACTCCTTCACAGGACACTGGTTTTATGACAGCCCTCGGGGAGAACAAACCAGTACTGAGATTATTGAATATTCTCGAACTGTGCCAAGATATAATGGCCATACTGTATATGCTTATTCTTAGTCTATTAAGTTATAGATTATTCCATTCTGGGTGTGCATGAATGCTCAGCTAAATAGGTTTGGATTGTTGTTCGGGGCATCATGTGAATATTGGACTTGTAAATAAATTAAGTAGTGATACATATGAGCCCAATATGGAATAGATAATAGGTTGCTTATATTTTGCCAGATGTTAAACCTGCCACATGATTATTAATAATGGTAGGCCATCCAAAACTTGTCCGGGATGCCTTCATTGGTCATAACCTTATGCATGAAACTTCTCTACTTTCCACTTACAACTCAGGGTAAAACGCAGCATGCAGCATTTCTCAAAAATTTAGGTCTCAGATTTTGAATGACAGTCCTTAGGAGAAATTGCTCCATGATTTATCATATGGTAAAAGTATGTAGTATATAGTTACTGTGTTATTAGACCTCTTTCCTATGATTTCTGTTTTTTGTAACTGAACAAAAACTGCCCTCAATAGTGTCTCTCTTCAGTCCCAGAGGCCTTGTATTAAATTTTATCAGTAAATTAATGAGATTAAAATCTTCCCTTTCAAGAAGTGATTTGTTCATTATTTCTGCATGTGTTTTTCATATTTTTTTGTTGTTTGTTCTTCTTCTTCACATTCTTCCCATGCACAACGTTTGACATTCTGTCAAAAAGTATTTGCTCCCTTTCAGATTTTTTAAATTTCCTATGTCTTTGCCATTGCTGTCTGAGCATCATGTAGATTCTACTGATATTAAAATGTTAAAGAACTGCAAAATCCCAGGGAATGGTTATGACAGGATCTGAAATAAAGAACAGGACATACTGAACATTTCTCAAATATTACTGAGCTGAAGCAGTTTGTCCTGAAGGAATGAGCTAAAATTCCTTCTGTTGGAATCTGATTGCCATATTTATCAGTGTAGTTCTCTCAAGCGGACTTCAGGTCAGTGTCTTTGGAGATCCCAGTTGTATATACACCCAGACTCTGGAATAATCTGCCCTTTCACTACCGTTTCCTGTTTTCCTTTGTGTAAGAGCCAATCCTAAACTTCTGTTGTCTTCTGGGTTCTGCCTCAGTATTTCTGTGTGATCCATGTGTAAATGTACAATTGGCAACTCCCACAGAACAGATTCTGGAGAGCTGAAAGAGGCAAGCCTGTTGCATTTGGCTGATGGGCTAGGAGAAACTCTTAGAAGAAGTAATGTGACATTGATTTTACCTTCACTGTTTCAAATCCAGTGAAACTCTGTTGCTTGCTGTGAACATAGACAAATGTGATCTCTTTTGGTTTTGTTTTCTGTTGCTCCTGCAGGAGAAAAGGATCCTCTCCCTGGATTCAGCCAATACAAGATTGATGAGTGCCCTAACTCAAGTGAAGGAACACTATGACATGCAGGCCCGGAGCAGTGTCTCTCCTACTAATCCGCCCAGACTTTCTATCACAGAAAGTGGAGAATTTAGGAACAGCAGCTGCTAACTTCAAGTTGTCCCATCAAATGAATTGCCATCTTTAATTTCCCTTGCCCACTCCAAGCCTGGTTGACCAACTCCCTTGGTGTTCTCCAAAATTATCTGCTTAAAAGCAGAAAAAATCAGGGAAAACTGGACTGCTTGCCACCACCATATAATGACCTGCACTAACGACCTGCTTGGGCTTCCTTTCAACATTGCAGCTGGTAATCACATTTCCACATTTCAATTTTCTAGTTTTTCAACTTGCCTCTCTAAACTAAATCTCGATCATGGCAGCAACATGTCATGTGCTTCAGGGTACATAAGGCAGAACAGGCATCAATAGTTGCCTGACTAGATGAACACAGAAAAGACTGCTTAATTTTGATCAGGGATCAAAAAAGTTAAAAAAATTGAAAAACAGATATTGTTTGAAAATCAAAAGTTTAAAAAACAAGAAATGTGTAAAAATGTAACAAAAATATTTAAAAGGTAAACATGTTAAAATTAAGTTTTGAACACTTTGTTAAATATGTTATTTGGGGGAATGATAGACATGTTGCTGACCCGTTCACTGCTATTTAGGTTTTATTTTTTGTTTGTTTCCTCTAATTTCTTCTGTAAAGAGGTTTTTTGGCAATTTAGATTGTTTTTAAATTTAGATGTTATTAATTTTAGTCAGCTGTTTACACAGACCAAGAGCAAGGAGTTTCATCTGAAATGCATTACGTCCCCCTACTTTCCATTTCAGCAATGAAACTGACATTTGATAGCAGGTGAGACAGGAATACTATTCAAGAGTCTTTACCGAAAACATTTCACCCGGTGGGGCAAGACAACTGCAACATGCAACTCATCCATTATCTCTCTAGCATTTCTTAGCTGTCAGGAATGACTATATACAGGTAGTCCTCGAGTTATGAATGTAATGAAGCCTGCCCATTCCATTTGTAACTTGAGGATTCGTAGGAGTGAATCTCCTACCTTGAACGCGATTCACTCCCAGCTTTCGCCTATGCATTCACTAATTTAATGTGTGGGCGAATGCGCGGCTTGTTAAGTGAACATGAGGTGCTTCCGACCACCCAAGGCCTCCCCCGACCCACTGAAATAACTCATGTTCCCTCCCCTGGGGGCCCACAATTGCTCCCCCCCCATCCTGCCATGCCAGGTTACTTACCTTGTGAAGATCTGTCTCCTCACCAGCTTGTTTCTTTCTCTGCTCTGGGCAAGAGCAGAGGGAGGCCTCTGAGGCCCAGAACAGACCTCCAGAAGGATGTGGCTGCCTCCCCGACCTCTGTTTTGGGCCTCTGAGGCTTGGAGGAGCCTCCGAGGCCAAGAATGGGCCTTCGGAGCCCTGCTGAAGCATCCCCTGGCATCCTTTCTAGGCGGCAGCAACCCTCAAAAGGCCTCTGATGTCTGGATCTGGCTTTGGGAGCCCTGCTGAAGCGTCCCCCAGCATCATTTCCGGGCGGCAGCAGCCCAGAAAAGGTCTCCAATGCCTGGAAATGACGCCGGGGGACGATTCAGCGGGGCTCCGAAGGCCCGATCTGGGCATCAGAGGCTTTTCTGGGCTACTACCGCCTGGAAAGGATGCCGGGAGACGCTTTAGCAGGGCTCTGGAGGCCCATTCTGGTCCTCAGAGGCCTCCTCCAGGCTTTTGAAGCCCAAAGTGGAGGCCGTGGGCGGCGGCCACATGCTTCCAGAGGTCCATTCTGGGCCTTGGAGACCTCCTCCAAGGCCCAGAACGGAGATCCGGGGAGGCTTTTGCATGCCTCCAGAGGTCCATTCTCCTCTGGCTTCCGTTCTGTTCTCTGTTGCAAAGAACAGAGGCCTAAACTACCATGAGATCACGTGAGATCAGTAGCATGAGATTTTGTGCCACTGATCTCGGGTGATCTTGCGTTACTTTAGGCCTCCATTCTCTGCGAATGCAATGAAGGAAGCAGTGAAACAGCCAAGATAGCGAAGGATCTTTGCAAGGTGAGTATCCATAGGCCTAGTGCCTAGGGAGACCCGGGAAGGGGAAGGAGGGAATAGCCAGGGTGAATGTTGCAGTGCCACTGTGGTTGGTTGTAAGGGCGAACGACTGCCGTGGTGCGGCAACATTCATAATTTCAGGACTTTTTCATAAACACTCAAACATTCCCTAAGGAACGCTCATAACTTGGGGATTACCTTTACACATTTCTCATTGAGGGCTATTTTCTTCGTCCCCTACATTTGTAATTATGCCGACACCAGTTAAAATCTTGCTGTGGAGAGTGAGCCCTATCCATTCCTTCTCACAGCCCATACTTTCCTCTTGGTGATCTAGTTCTCCATTCCCATATTAACCTGGGTACCTATTTGGTATGGCAGGCATCCTTCTTACATGGGGACGCAATTAACTCTCTTTTTCAGTCAGGGTTCTTCTCCCGCAGGGCAAAATTGGAAGTTCTACTTCCTTTCTCACTGTAACGTTTTGGCACTGCCAAAAGACTATGCAAACACACTTTTTCATTTCATTCCAGGTGAAATTAAATGCACAATACAAGAGGGTTCACCAGGCAAGAAAAGTCCAGAGGTCACAAGGCACAATCCAAGTCAAGGCAGTGTCACTCCAAAGCAAGGCAGGAATCACAATGACCAGAAAACACAAAGCTAGGAAATGAACACATTGTTCCCAGCATTGCCTCCATCTGTCTGCTGTATTAAACAGCCAGCTTCTGGTGCAGCCCATCAAACAGAGCAAGGCTGTCTCCTCACAAGTAATCTGGCTGACCTTCTCTACTCCTGCCTTTTCTCTGCCCTATATGTTCTTGGATGAGGTGTAGAAGGCAGTTCCTCTTCCTCATCACTGACTGGCTGTAGCTGCATGATGTCCCCACCTGAAGCCTCAGGGCTGTCCTGCAGCTGTGCTTCAGCCAAATTCCTCTCAGACAGCTACTTATAGCCACTGATCAACTCCTCTCCAGACATGCCTGGAACTGGTTCATCCTCCTCCAAACTGACATCTGGAGATTCTGCTCTTCATGTGGGAAACCAGCTATATTTTTCAGGGAAGCCCAAGCAGGTCTATTCAGTGCATGGTGGTGATAGGCTGAAAGAGACACCAAATCCCAGGATGGCTGAATTTCATAGTCCTCTGAAAGAAGTAGAATTATTCTGGAATAACTGATGGTCGAAGGGAAGAGGTCTATGCCATTGAAATGAGAAAGAGTTGGGTTAGGGAAATGAGTTCCACTTGGCTGTCTCCTAGTCATGAAAAAGAAAATGTTGCCATTTCAGAAATGCAAGCTTGTGGGCAGCTTTGTAATAATCTGGGTTGCGATTGTAATGCCTCCTTCTCAAATTTAGTTTGGTGTTGGTAAAATGATATTTATAGAGATGGGGCAAGAAGGGTATCTTGGTGAGAGCTTTTATGAATTTTGTAAGTACAACAATACACTTTCTTCAGGGCCTTAATGAAAATTATCTTACCAGACATTTATTTTCAGTGTTAGCTTTCAATAATTTATTTCTATCTGGATCTTAATTTTATGACTCCACCCCCCACCCACCACCCAAACCACAGTTCTGTATTTTTCTGCCCATAGTGTTGGATTCCTCAGGTCCCCAGGATCTACTTCTGCATTTCATTGTCTGGGTTTGTTCTAAAGAAGATTTATTTTTGTTCTGTGAATATTTTTGAACAGGTTCTTGTATATGTACAGATAGAGATACATTTGAGGTCTTTTATTGATATTCCTATAAAGAATTAAAAAATAAAGTTTAACTTTAAAACAGTTTTGACTCGGTCTTTCTTTGCACCAATAAAAGTTTGAACTGTTACAGAACTGTTGAATATTCCCAGCCTCAACAATGAACTTGTAACAGGGCTTACACTCTTGTGCCCGAGCTTCAGCCATTCATATGGTTTCTTAGCACAGCAGTCTAGTGTGACATGGTGTCAGGGAGGGAGGGAAGAAGGAAGGAAGGAAGGATAGGTAGGTCATGCAAATCATAGTTAGGAAATTGAAAACTGCACAAGAACTACTGAAAAGCAGTATCTTGGAAGATGTGAGAGAGTGCAGAGATTAAGAGTTTCTAATTTTCAAGCTACTGAAAGCATTCCCAAGACATTTGTGGACTGTCCTCATGTAAAAATTTCTCAGAGAAAAAAGTATACCCTTTCTCGGATAAGGCAGCATATGAGCCCATATGTGACAAAATTTGCATTGCATTCTTTGATGTTATGATAGATGAAATGATCATTCAATTAAAAGACAGATTAAAATAGTGAAAATTAGGAACATCCTGTATATGAATTTGTATTTGATATTCATTAGCGGAAATGAGTAATGAAAACAAAAGAAAAAAAACTCTATTTTCCCACATTGTAGGAAATAGATTCTACCAAATAGGTAGTTGTACAATCAATCTCAAGCAAAATCCATAGCTTTGGTATACCTTCAGTTGGTAGAGCCTACTTCCAACATTCAAGGTAAATATCCAAAAGGCTGTGATACTTGCATTTTTCTGTCAACATCTCTATTTCTCACAAGTAGCAGTTGTTTGCTACTGTTAATAGATTAGAGATGCCTCATTTTTTCAAAGAACAATCTCTTGCTTTCGTGATCACCTCTTCGTCCTGCCAAGTAAAAATATGTGCACCAGCGAGCCTTTCCTATTGCCTCAAAATAGTTCTTGGGAGAAACATCTGCAAGATTTTTCAGTGGTTTGAATTCCTCCTGCTCCCCCCCCCCCCGGCTCTATTCTGTGCCAAGCTCACTCAATTCTGATAATTTCAAATAAGAGATATCCATTCAATAATCTACATAACATACTACCGGTAGTTTCCCATTTTACAACAGTGTGTTGGTGAAATACCAAATTCTGTAAAGGTAGGGTGACATCTTGTGGCAACTAAGCTGATATATACTGGTGCTCATCTTTTATACATCTTTTTTTTTTTAAATCTGCTTCAGGCACCTGGCTGGCAGAATTCCAAAGATTTCCTCTTAAAAACACAACAAAAGTCAAAGATTGGCCAACCCTAAAAGA